GCCTGCATATTAGCATGAGGGAATTTTGCTAAGAACCATTTGGCCAGCCTAAATCTGGAAATGAAGAACAGGGATAAACTGTCAAATTTCCAGTCTTCAAATACCACTGAATTCCTTGCCTTCCATAAAGACCACAATACAACTCCTGGGATAAAATTCCAAATAGTAGAAGAAGGCATAAGATAAGATCAAGAACAAAGTAGAGAGGAGGGATCGTGGGGCAAAACTGAAGATATATCCCATAACCTTAAAAATCTATTCCACAGCTCTCCTGCAACAGAACATAAGTTAAAAAGGTGTTCAATTGTTTCTTCATCCTTTTGATTCTGTGACAGTTTATTGAAATCTGTTGGTGAATTATTCTGGGAGGAATTGATTCTTATGGTATCATGATGTGTAATTGTCCCAGCCATCTATCTAATATTTTTTATTGCTGTCTTTCCTGTCAATCAATTATAACAGTGGTAGTGTCATTTAAAATTTTCCATTCATAATAATAATTGAGTTGGTTTTTCCCGTAAGATTGAAATGTAATATATTTCTATTTCAGGTGATGTTTCCATCTACTCTTCTTGGTACTGGTGAAAACTGGACATTGATGAAGACTATCAGTGTTACAGAGTATTTAAATTATGAAGCTGGTAAGTGCCCATTTTGATTGATTTGGACCATACACTGGGGAGAAATTAATTGATTTGAGTTGGATTAGTGAATGCTAAATAGGTTAAATGAATTATCCATCTTAACGGCCTGGCATATATTTTTATTTGCACGACTTCTGTAGGGAAATTTTCCAAGAGTAAAGGTGTAGGAGTTTTTGGCAATGATGTTAAGGAGACGAAAATACCTGTAGAAGTTTGGAGATATTACTTATTAGCTAATAGACCTGAGGTATTCCTGTTCACTGACATCATTTATGACTGTTTTCTTTGATCTTGGATTCTACTTACCGCCTTTTGTGATTTTATTGTTTTGTAAAACTAGGTTTCTGACACCTTGTTTACATGGGACGACTTGCAAGCAAAACTGAACAACGAGTTGCTTAGTAATTTGGGCAACTTCATCAATAGAATTTTGAGCTTTATTGCAAAACCTCCTGGTTAGTCATCTGTTCTCTAGAACCTTTTTGTTTTTAAGTTGGATTTCGTTCTTGTGTTGAAAGCTTGAAATTTGTTGATAATGAAATATTCTAGTTGGGGAAAGAATCATGATGACTAGTGATAGGATCTGGAATTCCAGTTCATAATGGACAGGATTTGTTTCTATTCTGCTTAAGCTTTTGTACAAGTGATTGATAAAGTGTCAGGGAAATAATGCCCCATAGGTCCTGATATTAAGAAATTAATCATCAATCTTTTTACATTCATTAGTGGTAAAGTAACTCGTCATTGTTTCGTGAAATGGATACATACGCATATTTAACAAACTTTTTTTGTCCACTCGTAATGAAATCTTCCAAATGGATTTAACTAATGGTTGCTGTCTACAGGTCAAGGATATGGTTCCATAATTCCTGATGCTCTGACTGCTGAGTCACATCCCTTGACAAAAGCTTTAGGTGAGAAAGTTGGTAAACACGTGGAGCAATATATAGAAGCCATGGAGAAGGTGACTGGTCTTAAACTTTGACACTGCATTTGACTATATAATTTATCACCCTTCACATCCCCATATTGTCAGAACTCAGAACTGCTTTTACAAATGTTTGGAACATTCTGCAGGTGAAACTAAAGCAAGGTTTAAGAACTGCAATGAGCCTCTCAAGTGAAGGAAATGCATATCTGCAAGTAAGTTGTAGAAACTTCTAGTTCTAGAAATCAATTTATAGAGTTACCTTTTCTGGCCGTGTCACTTCTTCTGATCTGTTTTATTGATAATTTCCATTCAGGAAAGCCAATTTTGGAAGCTTTACAAAGAAGACCAAACTTCTTGTTCGACTGTCATGAGAACTGCAGTGGGTCTAGTGCATATTCTTGCATGTTTATTGGAACCTTTTATTCCATCTTTTTCCATTGAGGTAATCTAATTGGTGCACAGATTTTTTTTACTGGTGTGATAGAAAATATTTCTGTTACATGTAGTGCTAGCTGTCTAATTTCATTTCACGTGCCATTTATTTTCGTTTTATTTTTTGGGTGCACTTAAAGGTATTTAAGCAGCTTAATTTGCCTCCTCAAGCACAAATTTCACTTTGTGATGAGAAAGGAGATGTCGAAAGGGCTAGAAGATTGTGGGAGATAATACCTGCTGGGCATAAAATCGGAGATCCAAAACCTTTGTTTGAGGAACTGGTACCTCTTCTATGCTATTTGACAATATGCCATCTTTCTCTAATTTTTTACTATTATTTTCTGTGGCTTGCAGTACTTGTTTTCCTTTTATTTCTTTATATATATAGTGTCTTATTTTGTGAACATAAATTAATGACAGAAAGCTGAAAGAGTTGAAGAACTGAGGCAGAAATATACTGGAAGTCAAGCTGATAGGCGTGCTAGGGCAGAAGCCGATGCTGCATACACTGCTGAGCAACTGAAGAAAACAAAAATTTCAGGTTGGATATATGTTTCCTTTGTTGTATTTAAAATATTACTATCTAAAAGAATCATATCCTTATAGAAACTTCAGTTTTTGATGTAATTTGAAGTCTTCAACATTTAAAACACTAATCTTATCATTCAAGCTCAAAATTACAACACAAAATTTATTTAACATTGAAAAAAGTTCGTCTCAAAATTCTTTATGGAGCATTTTCTTTAGGTTTGTAGAATATCATTTCGAGATTTGATCTTAAAGCTAAAATCCGTTCTTGTAAGAAACTGCAAAAATTATCAGTTCTTCGTTCCTTTTTGTTGGGTATGTTTGTGCGTATGTGCTTGCTTTGGTCTGAGCTGTTCTTTTATTACAGATAACAAGAAACAGAAACCGAAAAAATCTTCAGCGGACTCTAAAGACAAGCCTACCAGTACTGAACCAGAGATTTCCATTACGAGACTTGATATCCGGGTTGGTAAAATTATAAAAGCTCAAAAGCATCCCGATGCTGATTCTTTGTATGTAGAAGAGATCGATGTGGGTGAAGCCCAGCCTCGGACAGTAGTTAGTGGACTCGTAAAATATATTCCTTTGGAAGAGATGCAGGTATTCATTCTGTGCCTCGTAATTTCTAAATTATACATGTTATTAATGTATCATTTTGGGGCAAGGAGTGATGCTTGTTCCATGTCAAGGTTTTTCTACCTCTAATATCTTGTTCGGATTAACCATCAAGCAGAACAGGCTTGTTTGTGTTCTTTGTAATTTGAAGCCGGCAACCATGCGCGGTATAAAATCACATGCAATGGTTCTTGCTGCTTCGAACGACGACCACACCAAGGTATGCAAATAACCAGACATGGAATTTTGTTCTGTCAATGTGTGATTTGGTATCATAGGCCCTTACCGAAACTAACTTGGTCGTTGATGTTTGTTAGGTGGAATTGGTTGAACCGCCGAAATCGGCCACAGTAGGAGAGCGAGTAACCTTTCCCGGTTTCACGGGTGAGCCGGATGATGTGTTAAACCCGAAGAAGAAGGTTTGGGAGACACTTCAAGTGGATCTCCATAGCGATGGGAATTTAGTGGCGTGTTATAAAGATGTTCCTTTGACGACCTCGGCCGGGGTTTGCAAAGCTTCGTCCATTGGCAATGGGTCAATTAGATAAGATGGTTACGTATCCAAAAAATAGAAGTACAAATCCATTCATCTCAAATCGTGTTATACCTATTTTACCCCTCGTTTTGTGTTTTAATTATCGTAACTTTTTATTAAGGATTTTGGCAATTTCATATTTTTATTAAAAATATATTAAACATAACAAGTCATTTAAAAATAATTACACGTTAAAAGTTAAAATGTAATATTTATTGGGACAAAAGAAATATTTTTTTTTTTATTTTGATAAATTTATAGTAAATATAAGAACATGTATGTTTAAATACTCTCAATCATTTTTAACAATGAACGGTTATACTTATGATATTTACAGTGTTTGAATCCAATATTTTATGGAAGATCAACAAGTATCACGGAGATCACTTGTAGTATTTATTAAGTAATATCTATATTTTAAAAATTTTATCATATGAATGAACAAAAACTATCAAGTGAAATCAATTTATTACTCAAACATATATGAAACATGACTAATAAAAAATGTTGTTTAGAAATTATGATGTAATTCGAAAACGTAAAATTCGTTCAAATAGTATATGTTCAAATATAATAAATAATTATTTGATATTGGACGTTTACATCTAATATATTTTTAGTGCTCAAACCCGGGACACCTTAATGAATAACAACAATTCTTTTACCATCGTTGTCACTAGTGTTGTAACCTAAAATGTTTTGTTAGTAAAATAATAATTTCAATAAAATTAAACTGATTCAAATTTAATAAAACTTTATCCTAATTAACTTATTGATCCGGCTGAAGAAGAATCCAACCCGTTACAATTCCACTGTATATTTTTATTATTATTATAAAGAAATTCAGGTTGTAAGTTTTAATTAAAATTTTCATTAAAAGTGTGTTCATATAAAGATTTTGTCTTTTAAAATGGTCAAATAGATGTATAATATTTTTAAATTTGTGTTGATAAAGATATGTTTTCTTAAAATAATTGAATATTTTTTATAAAAAAAATTATTTAAATACAAACTCTAAAAATTTCAAATATATTTGAATAAGTGTAAATAGAATATCATTTTAAAAAATTTAAGAATATTAAATTTTTATTTGATAATTTTAAAATATTAAATCTTATTCGAATATACTTATGTTTATTTAATATTTTTAAAAATCAAACTGTCATGCAAGTAAACTCGAATGGGTTAGTCTAATTTATATCATCAATCAAATCTAATAACGGTACAAATTCATTTCCTAACTCAAAATCTCAGCCGTCCATCAATTATATAATCCAGCGAATGTGCCTTTCCCCGCAAATAATATTCTTCGTACACCACGCGTCCCCTTGCTTCCTTCATTCCACCGCCAGATTCCTTTCAAGAATCTGTTTCTTCTTCTTCTTTCTATTCTGAAAGCAGCTTAAAATTGATATCGTCGCAATACCAGATCTTCCTTGTTTCCATTCCAAAGGTTAGTTTCAATTTCACTCTATATATATATTGTGTTCTTTCTTTGGGAACTATGTGGATGATTTTGTTATTAAAAAGGCTTTTGTTTTACTTTTTGAGGAATGGGTCTTAATGGGTGAAGGTCAAATTTCAAAGGGATGTTGGGTTTTGAAGGGTTAGTACATTTTGATTTTTATGGGTAGCTGAAATGATGTTTCTTTCCTTGAAATCGTTTTTGTTAACATATTAATTTGCTGCTAAAGTTTGATTTTTTTTAGTGGTGGAAAAATAAAATAGCTTGAAATCTGATTGATTTGTAATAATTGCTACAATTACAGGGTGTTAGTTTAGACTGGGGGAGGGGAGGGGGAGCTTCTTTTAAGATATTCAGTATCCTGAGGCTATTCTTGAACTTAGGTTGAATGCTTTGGTTAAACATTGGATGGAATTTTGAAGTGCTGAATCTTTAAGAAGATTGCATCGGTCAGATTGGTTAGGCGAGATCGGCTTAATGTATGTTTCAGGACGATCTTTGGCAAATGCCACACATATTTGGTAGAGGTTTTAGTGCCTTCTATGGTTTAGGTTTTGGAATAGATAGATTCACATGGGTTACCTGCGGTACCGGCTAGTATCTTGAGTCTTGATGTCAGCGTTCTTTATCCTTGGGATAAAGTGAGATGCCATTGCAATTTCTCCTGTATTATCAAAAGGTTATTGGAATTTGATAAGATTGGTGTCATTGCAGGCTTATAGGATCTGGTTTTGTCGAAGTAGAATGGTTTTTAATAGCTTTCTATGTAGTAATGCTGGTGTTGCTTTTTAATTTTTTTAGTCTTGATCTCTACATCCGTGAATGCGGATGTTCAGTCTGTTTTGTTGATTTCTTTAACTCAAAATGATTTTGCCATTGAATAAGTTTGAACGTAGCTAGTGTAGAAGATTTTAAAATTTCCGGTCTTATACGGAAGTCAGCCGAAGCTGATGTTAAAAAAACTTTACCTTATTGAGGTTGTGCAACTGTGTGAAAACATGTTGCTCTCATGAAACCAAATGCTAGATTATCAATTCCTTCGATTCTTTTCTACTATTTCCCCCATTTTTGCTATTCCAAATGGCCCTTTGTCATTTGGCCTTCTAGTAAAAGGTTCACTTTATGTGCATAGCTGAACCGGTGTACATATACCATAGTCTAACGTGTTGTGGAATTTGTTTTTATTTAGTTTGTTTATTTGTGTCTTCCGATAAAAGAATATTTTAGTGAGCTAAACATGGTACGTTTTGTTTAATTTGTCTGTCAAATGATTTTAGTATCTCAATTCTTTATGGACACTAAATGCAGGTTTTATGACAGTTTCAAGACTTCAGTAAAAGGTGCATCAGCTGAACGATAATACGTTTTTAGTATAGAATGGAAGATGGATTTTCAAGCTTCTGGGGTCCTGTCACATCCACCGATCGGTGTGAGAAAAACTATGTTCACTCATCTTATATTGCGGAGTTTTTCAACACTATATCCAATGTCCCGGGCATTCTTTTAGCACTCATTGGCCTTATAAATGCCTTAAGACAACGATTTGAGAAGAGGTTTAGTGTCCTTCACATATCTAACATGATACTCTCCATTGGGAGCATGCTATACCACTCCACACTGCAACGTGTGTAAGTATTCGGTTCCTCCAAATGCTTCTGACATTAGATGAATGTCTCTCCAACCGAGACATTATATTAGAACATATTGTTTCTGTATGTCTGATTAGAAGATTGTTTTTTCCTTGTACTGGTTTGCTTAGTAGAAACGATGACTAAATTTAGGGTTTATTTTGTAATTCTTCACTGCATCTGATATGGAAAATGAACATTAGAAACATTGCTGATCTTATGAAGCTTTAAGAATTAAGATTTAAAAATTTGTAATCCTTTATTCTTTAGGAAGTTGATTCGCAATGTGAAATTCCGAATATTTTCAGGCAACAGCAAGGTGATGAAACTCCAATGGTGTGGGAAGTACTTCTATATTTTTACATCCTCTACTCACCGGATTGGCACTATCAGAGTACAATGCCTACTTTCCTGTTCTTTTACGGAGTAGGATTTGCAGTAGTCCATGCGCTCTTCCGTTTTGGATTTGGCTTTAAGTTGCATTATGCCATTCTTTGCCTTATCTGCATCCCTCGCATGTACAAATACTACATCTACACGAAAGATGCCGCTGCAAAACGACTCGCAAAGTTATATATAGCAACTTTGCTCCTGGGAAGTATATGTGGGGTTTCGGACCGGGTATTCTGCAAGCAGATATCTAATTGGTACTTCAACCCTCAAGGCCATGCTCTATGGCATGTCTTCATGGGCTTCAATTCGTATTTCGCCAACACATTCCTGATGTTTTGCCGCGCACAGCAGCGAGAATGGGATCCGAAAATCTTCCACTTCTGGGGTGTTCTCCCTTATGTCAAGATTCAAAAACCAAAGAGCCAGTGAAAAAGCTTGCTTGCTGCACAATCCAATTCTTTTTTACCCAGAAGAGACGAATGAAAGAAAACTGTTTTGTGATTGTCCCATATTTTAACATTCATATCCTCTCTTATTACCTTTAGAACCCTTAGTTTAATGGCTTTTTATGGATTTGGACACTTAGTTTTACAGAAATTAGTTTAATGTATTTGTGAGTGGTAGAAATAGGGGAAAGAATTTTGGTCTTCGAGGGGTATTTTTGTCCAACTTTTTAGAATTTTAATTATGTATCAATGATTTCTTCCTATTTCCTTTTTCTTTTAGTCAAACTAAGCTTGTACATATACATGATATGTACTTATTTTTATATATAAAATTAAAACTTTTATATATATAATTGTATAATATTAAAGTTCATGCATCATAGTGTTCATTCCACCAAAATTTATAAATAATTTTGAATTTTATCCCTTATTTTTATTACATATTATAATATTATTTTTTATAAGATGAGGGGAAGAGTTTGTTTATGACAAAAATCAAATTTTAATATTAATTGAGATTAAAATAATAATCTTTATCAATATATTATAAATTTAATTTATCGATAGAAAGGCTTCCCCTGCTAATTAAATTTCCCAATGCCCCATGCTCTCCTAATGAACCTTGAAACCCTAATTTTCTCTCTCCTCACACCAACCAATAATTCAATAAAACCTATACATATATAGAGAGAGGTAGTATTTAGTTACGTAAAGTAAAACTAAAAAAGTTTTACATTGATTTAAGATCGTTGGATAAATGAATCTAGACGGTGTAAAGCTCTTTTAGTTTTATATAGTCATAGATTTAATACCGTTGGATGAGTGAAAATAGGCGGTTGAGATTAATAGTAAGAAATGATAAGATATTCACTGAAAAAAGAAAGAAATAAGTAATTAATCTCATTTCATTGAATATCTTTTTATTTCCTATTGTTAATCTCAACCGTCTATTTTCACTCATCTAGCGGTGTCTATATAAATTAAAAGAGTTTTACATCTTAACATGATCATATATATCAGACGTTCAAAAGAGGTACATGTTGAGTGAAATGAGAAAGAGAAGTGGAAAGGGAAATAATATTAAATTTGAATGTGAAGAAGTAGTCTGCACAACTTTGCCTTTGGTCCCATCTCCATTAGATGGTGGTGTATATCCCCCATTTACTCTATTTGCCCTGCATTTTTCGTATTAAAATTTAGGTTTAGAATAAATTATTATTAAATCATATAAGTAAATTTCAAATGATAAAATAGATAATCGAGCTCAGGGAAGGACATACATGTAACATGAGAGAAGTTACAACCTAAAAAAAAGTTTGGGTTTAATTACTTTTAGATCCCTCCTACTTTTGAAGTAAGATTAATTCATTTTTGTTCATCTATTTTTTTGGACTCAGTTGTTTATTATTATTTTCTTTTTGAATTTCTTTTCAGGTGCTCCTTAGTTTTGAAAGTAGGTAAATTAAATCTTGACCTACCATTTTTTTATTTAAATATTTTTTTTTATAATCCTTTCAATTTTAAATTAACAAATTAGATCCTAAATCGTCTATTTGAAAGTTTAAATAGATGGTTTAATAATTAGACTCTAACCATCATTTTATTCCTATTTATATGTTTTATCTCAAAGTTTCATCCTAACTTCGTCCCTAATTTGATTGGTTTAAGTAAAAAATTAGATAAAAAAAATTGAACAACATCCTTAAAATTCTATTAAATAGTAGGTATATTATAAATTTAAACGCACATGAACTCACGTCTTTTTAGATATTACAATAACAATAATATCAACAAAATTATCAAATTTTATATAATGGTGATAAAAGAAACTTGTGTATCAAATCATACCCATATATTTTGTCATGTGATATCGTCGTTAAAATAATTTATAATTTTAATATTTTAATAATACACATAAAATATATTTTAAATATTAGTGTATTTATATAATATTGAAGTAAAATTACCTATGAGAAGTCGGGCAAAAAAGGATGAGATAATCAAAGGCCTTGCAAGTGAAAGTGCTGGTGCCATCATCGTAAGCGTAGCTGTAAGCCCTAGGGCAAGCCCTTTTGAAAATGGTTGAATAAAATGAAGGCCTGCACGTTGTTGGGTTTGCGAATTGCCCACTGCAGCAATATTGGTCCAGCCCGAAAGCCTCGCATGCACTTCGGCATGCCACCACCCTCGCCGTGCCACCACCCTCGCCGTCTCCGCCCACCACTTGAAGCTCTTTAGGGCAAGCTGAATGTCATTTGATAACATATTAGAATTGTATCCAAAATATGAAAAAATTCTTAAAATTTTATCATGAGTTATTAACGTTGGATTAAAATTCGAAATTGTAAGCACATATAATATATAATTATTTTAATTATTATAAAATATGATACAACAATATGATAAAATTCATAGCTTATTGGTTCTTACCAAGATTAAGATCAGAAGAACAGCCCGTGGCATTGCATGAGCCATGCACACCACGAGGAGCAGCAACAATAGGCAAATTATACCCATCCACAAGACTAACATCATAAAAATCTTGTTCAATCCCCTTCCCCAGAGTTATCTCAAAAAGTGAAGCTGGCGGCGTAGCCCCATTGCCATCACACTCGAGCCTTCCACCGCAATCACCAGTTTGACAAAACCCTACACCGTTCACATCAAACTCACAACCAGTCCTACCCCAAATCCGACCCGACCATCCGGCAGGAACCGAAGGGATCCGAACACTTTGGCCAGCATTCAATTGAAACCCCGTTGTTTGCAACGACGGAGTCCCCGAACCGGCTAATGTCCCGGGCCATATCGTGTAGGGGCAGTTGTTTGTGATGGTGAAAGTGGAACAATGGGAGGTGGAAACGAACAATGCGAGGATAATAAGGAAGACATTAGCATGAAACATGGGTACATCGATGGTTAAAATGAAATAAGAATAGAAATTAGGGTTTGAATAGGAGAAGACGGTTAAATATAAGGGACGTTGAGGGAAATAGAATAAAGACAAAAGCCTAAAGGGCTAAGACTACGTTGCTTTGCTCAGGCTATATGATTTAGTAGCAAGAAATTGCCTTTTGGGGGTTTAGTATTTCCTTTTATTTGCTGGTGAAGGACAACTTTCTTTTTATAGAAGCAATTCCTTGCTTTATTGACTGTGTAGGAAAATTATATAAAATAAAGGTTTAAATATGTACTTCTATTATTTCAATTTTTAAAATTTATTTTATATACTATACTTTTATAAAATCAAGTTTTTGAACGGTTTTTTTTAATCATAATTCTTTATTAATTTTTGTTCAATTTGATTACTAATTGATAATTTAGAATTATATATAGGGTTTACACCTTTTAGATGAGAGAAATTAAATGATTAGATTAACCATGAAATGAGAAGATGTTCACCGAAAAACAAACAAGGAGTTAAACTCAGTCTTTGATTTCCGCTCATCTAACGATTCTAAAAGGGTGTAAAAATGAAAGTTTTACACTAGGTGTAAGTGAATCGTAACCCATAATATATATATATATATATATATATATATGAACTAACAACTAGTTGATCAAAGGACGAGACATTAGATCTGTTAAGCAAGATCAAGGGATTGAATCATGACATTATGAATGAAGTAAACTGGACTGGGAGGGTCATCCCCATAAATGGACTTTTACAATATCCGATCTAGATTAGTTGATTAATATATCGTATACTTGTGATTAAACCAAAAAGAATTATAAGAAAACAAAATAACTTTTTAAGTTCCTAAGTTTACAATTTTTTTTATCAATTTAATCCTTAATTAAACAATATAATTTTCAATCATCTATGTTTATAGTTTTTTAAGGGTCAAATTAATAAAACTTATAAACACTGAGGATTAAAATGATTATTTTACCTTTACTTAAACAATAATCGACAAAATAATTAAATAAAGGTTAAACGAGAGATTAAAATTCTTAAAATAAAAAGTAATACATGGATAGGGATGAATACGAGATTTGGACGGGACCTATGTTTATCCCTATGTAGGGACCCTATTTCGTAAAAGTATAATAAACTGTTAAATGTGGTTAAAAACTAGAGTCTAAAATCAAGTTCTTGTTCTGTGTTTTTTTTCTTCAAATCTTTAATTTTTATCAATTTTTGTTCAAATTTATTCTCAATTTTGATGATTTAAAATTATAAAAAAAATAAAGGATGATGTTGCCACACTCGATAAGCATGGATGAACACCGTTAATGATAAGCGCCGTTAAATTAATTTATAAAACATTAAATTATAAAGTACTAAACGTATAATTATAAATTAATTAAAAATCTAAATATAATTTAATTAAAATACAATATTTATAAAAATTAGTTTTTATGATAAACTATATCATTGACCACCTAACTATTTATCCCTTTTACTTTAACCACCAATTTTTTAATTTTATCAATCGGATCGCCTAACTATTTAAATATTGTCAATCAAGACATCTTCTGTTAAATATTAATGGAGGAGATGACATGACAATTAATAAATTTTTTATAATTACACATTTAGTCCCATTACTTATCATTCTATTAATTTAGTCCTAACTTTTATTTAATTCAATAAATTTAATCCTCAATTCGATGGTTACATGTGTCACTATGTGATTGGATTTTTTAAAATATTTTTTATTTAATAAAATTTTCATCCAATCAAATAGTACACTTTTCATCCGCAAGCCAAAAAATTGAGCATCCTAACCATTAAGTTGGACCACTAAACTTGTTAAATTTACATAACATAATCTATATAATTTATAATATAGTTAATAGTAATAAATAACCTTATAAGAACTCAAATATGAAATAATTGAATAGCATAAAAATATAAAATATATATAAACAAATATTATAATTTATTAATAAATGATTATGTTTTATTTACATTTTAAATCACATTTTATGCAAAAATCAAAATAAAAGTGAATTTAATATGTTATAATTGAAATGTATAATTTCACATATTTTAAATTAATAAATTGTCTTCATTGTTCTTATTTTATTGAACTAAAATGTATCATATCTTATATTTTAAAATATTATAATGTCGATCGGATTCTAATCTTATTTAACAACTCTATATTAAAATAGAATAATTCAATTAAATCAAAATTAGCTGACCATTTTTCTCATATGTAATGAGGTAAGGGGGAGGTATGATAGTAGACTGCCCCCAACGTCAGGTTGAGAGCAACTTCCGTGGGAGACCTTCGAATTATGAAATGCCCTCCGTGGGACTCGATCCCACGACCACAAGGTTAAGAGCCTTGTGCTCTACCAACTGAGCTGGACGGGAATTTTTTAAAGTTAAAATCAAGTTTCCCCTAAAGTTTTTTCAAATATATAATGAATAAAAAATAAAAAATAAAATTCTTAATCTAAATGGGATATAAACAAATCAATGAATAAGTTAAAATGCTTACTATGATAAGCCCTCAACTATCAGGAAAATTCTAAATCAACGAAGCTCTTCGTTATATTTCAATTATAATATATTAAAATTATTTTTATTTTTATTTTTTCATGAAAATAATTTAAAATATAAATAAAATACATTCACATATTAATCAGTTATAATATTTGTGTATATATATATGTATATTATATTATCATATTATTCAATTATTTCATGTTGGAGTTCTTATTAGGCCATTTTCTCTTTTCTTATTGCCATCAAATATATATATTATGTCGTAATAGATTTGTCATTTGAATAGTGCTTCTTAGTAGTTGGGGAGTTTGCTTAATCTCCTTATGTCTTGGGTTAAAACCTCACAAATAGTGGTTATTGATTTAATTTATTTTCTATTCATTCAATTGGTGACACGTGCCACCATTTGAATGGATGGAAAATTATTAAATTAAATAAAAATATTAAGAAAAAAATCATCCAACCACATTTTTGAAAACATTTTAATGTTTCGATATAACAAATAAAGTCCTATTGAATTTTAAGATTTTATATTCGATTTCAAAATTAATATTCGAGTAAATTATTCAATTATCAAAATATTACTCCAAGTTTTCAAATGTCAATTTTAAACCTTACTTAAATGTAAAATTGTGTTTTAATCTTAAAATATTTTTGAAACAATTTTTACAAAGTATTTCAAATCATAATCGGGCCAAAAATAATTTTTACAAAAGAATGTACTGGTACACTCTTTAATGTATCGATACACACCAAACATCGAATGCATTTTGTGTATCAATACACAACAGATGCATCGATACACTCCTGGCTCCGAGAAACATCGGATGTAATTAATGTACCGATACACTAGGTCAACTAATGGTCAAAATATTTGAATTTTACACTGAGTGTACTGATACACCTTGAGAGTGTACCGGTACACCTACGCTCCCAACAGATTTCTTAAATGATAATTACACCATAACGGCTCTATTGACTTCACCAATGATCCCCCAACGTTCAAAAGTGATCCAATGTGTATTTAAACAAGCTCATGAGGTATTGATCAATAACAAGAAATAAGAATCAAGAGAGAATCAAAGTGAAAGCATCAAACCTCAAGTTTGAGCATTTCAAGCCTATTTTTATTCAATATTCATTTTGCTTTCAAGAACACCATTTGTACTCAATTATATTTATTCTTGAGTGTTCTTTCTTTGTTCTAGAATTGAGCAAACAATCTACCTTGTGAGGTTTTTCTGTAAAGTTTGTGAAATTTGTATTCTTCTCTTTGGGAGAGAGTGTTCTCAAGAATTTAGGGTATAATTCTTGAGGGAGTTGTAAGGTTAATCTTTATCCTCAAAAGAAAGAACAAATTAGTAAATTTGTTGGATAACTAAGGAAGTGGACGTAGAATTTGGTTGAGAAAGTCGAACCACTCTAGATCGCTGTGCAAATATTTTCAATTTTCTGCAAAAGCTTCCACCAAAATTTTTATTACCAATTCACCCCATCTTGGCCTATTCGTCAATCGTTTAACTCAATAATTGGTATCAGAGCTACACTCATTTAAAGTTTTAACCACCTCTTGAGTCGATTCGGGAAGAGTTATATCAATATTCAAGTCATCAATGGCTTCCACTTCAAACTTCGACTTCGTTCTTGATTCAATTCCCGTCAACAAGCCTCATTTCTTAAATGGATCTAATTATGCTTATTAGAAGAATAGAATGAGGTACTTCATTCAATAAAGTAACATAGGAGCATGAAATATCGTGGAAGACGGATACATCATACCTTCCACTCATTCAAGATTGTGGAGTGAAGAAAAAACAAGAATGTTCTAGCTCAACTCAAAGGCTATCCATATTATTTTTTGTGATCTTGGACCAGATGAATACGAGAGAGTTTCATCTTGTACAACCGTCAAGGAGATATGGAATAAACTACAAGTCACTCATGAAGGCACAAACGAGGTAAAAAAATCTAAAATTAGTCTTCTAACTCATAGCTATGAAAATTTCATGATGAAACCGGATGAAGACATCAAAGCTATGACGAATAGAATTTTCGTGATTGTCAATGGTCTCAAATCATATGGAGAGATCATTTCAAATGAGAAGCTTATGAGAAAGTTAATTTATTCTTTTCCTAAAGCTTGAAAATCGAAGAAGACGACGATCATCGAAGTTAAAAATATAAAGTCTTTAACTCTCGATGAACTCATCGTTTCTCTCCTCACACATGAAATAATGATTCAAGATGAGTTAAACCTCGAAAAGAAGGACGAGACAAAGAAGGAGACAAAGAAAAAGAAGAACGTTAGAGTTGCTCTCAAATCTACAAAAGATGAGAGTGATTCGGATGAAGATGACAATCACGAGGAAATGACATTATTTGTCAAACGATTCAGAAAACTAATGAAGCCCAACAGAGGAAGAAAATTCAAAAGAAATGAAGGCTTCAAAACTGAATCA